GCACTGCTGGGGGAGAGACTGTGAGAGACTTGGCTGAGAGACGGTGGGCTGGGAGAGAGACTGAGCATTTTTCCTGAACTTGAATTGTAGCCTGGTGCTTCCCTAATAAACTCCATAATCTCTGAGTACTGTGTGGCCACTGCAGCCAGTTATCGAACTCAGGAGAGAGGTGGTGGGTGCTTTGGGAGGAACCGTTGGAGAAAGGGCTGGATGAAGGCAGCCTGTCTGGCCTCGCAGGAATAGGCCTTGGACTATTGATGGTGATTCTGTCGTCCGTGGGGTTAAAGGAGGTTGGAAGATGTGGCCTCCTTGTCCTTTTTGCAGTAGTTTATGAGGTTGGTGAGCTCTAAGAGGAAGAGGATACATCTGGGTTTCCTGTGATTTTCTGCCTTCATTTATTCTCCTGCTTTGAGACACTGACTACAGTCAGGAGGAGGTAGTTGAGACAAACCTCTCTATCCTTCCCATTTGCAGAGATGAGTTCTGGAAGCTATTTATGTTATTTAGAAAGTGATATAAGATTACTGGGTACAAGTATATTATTTATAAGTTATGAGGATGAATGGAATTTGTAAAACTTGTACCCAGAGTTGAAGATTCTGTCCTTAATAAATCATGAGTAACATGTTCAGTAATGTCTTCATTTAATTCTTCTGCATGGATTCATGTAAAGAGGCTGGATTTGGGCCAGCAGCCTTGGATTATAGCCCTGACACTACCTCTAACTTACTCTAGGGTCTTGGGCAAGTCACCACACAGCCCTGAGTTGCTACTTCTTCATCTGTAGAAACAGAATTTCCTGGGTGGTGCAAATGGTTAGTGTACTTGGCTGCTAACTGAAAGGCTGGTGGGTCAAGTCTACCCCAGGTACCTGGGAATCCCTTTCCTAAAAATCAGCCACTAAAAACCCTATGGAGCACAGTAGTAGGGTTGCCATGAGTCAAAGTGGACTCAATGGCAACGGGGAAAAAAGGAAATGGGAGGCTGAGGGAGAAGATCCAATTAGCATTGAGCAGATCACTACGCATCATGGAGAGCACCTGCAGATATCATCTCCTTTATTCAATAGACATGCACTGACGTCTACAATGTGGTGGCCTGTCCTTAGTTGGTGACTGGTTTAGAAGGGAAGACAGCCCTGGGATCTAGTCTTACTGAGGCAGAAAGGACAAAGGTTGAGAGGTGCAGAGGGAGTTATAGAAACCCAGAGGAGGATTTCAGCTTTCAAATCCTTTGATTATGGGATTCGAACATTCTTCTCCACTAAAGAACAGACCAGGGGAATGTGAGCAAGAGTTTAATGTCCACATTGTGATCATGTGTGTACACTTGTGCACATGTATAGAAATGTATTTATATTTGTTGTGGTCTGCTTTTCAGTTATGATTAGTTAGCAAAATGGCTTCCTGTTTGGCACTTCTTGGATGACAAGTTGATTCCAACTCCCAGCAACCCATGTGATAGAGTTGATCTGCTCCACTGGGTTTTCTAGGCTGTAATCTTTAAGGAAACAGATTGTTAGGTCTTTGTTCCTTGCAGACCCTGGGTGAGTTTGAACTGTCAAGCTTTTGATTAGTAGCTGAGTGCTTAACTGTTGTACCACCAGGGCTTCCTGTTTTTTTTTTTTTTGCATTTACAGTAAACTAACACATCTGTCCTGGAAGAAGAGCAGCTGGAATGCTCCTTGGAAGCGAGAATGGCCAGACCTCATCCTTCATCTCACCTGCTTTGGTCATGTTGTCAGAAGGGACCATTCTCTGAAGAAGGATGTCATGCTTGGTAAAGTGGAAGGTCAACTAAAAAGGGAACCTGAATGAGATGGATTGACACAATGACTACAACAATGGGCTCAGGCATGGCAAGGAGTATGAAGCTGGCACAGGACCAGGCAGTGGTTCATTCTATTGTGTGTGGGGTCACTACGAGTCGAAGTCAACTTGACAGCACCTAAGAACAACAACAATGTATATATGTATGTGTATACATATAATGTATATATATGCATATGTACATATATATGTGTTTGTATATATATACATACACACATACATATATATATATATATACATGAATTTTCAATTACCAGTGGATCTGTTTTTTTGTGTGTGTTTGTTGCCTGTTTCATTCTGATATTCATAGGTGAGGAAATGATTTATTTTGAGGCTTTCAATTTCATAGTTTATTTTTCAGGATTGTTGTTGTTGTTGTTGTTATGTGCCGTCGAGTCAGCCCTGACTCATAGCGACCCCTCCTTGGGTTTCCGAGGCAGTATCACTGCGGAAGTAGGATTGCCCAACCTTCCTTCCGGGGAGTGGCTGGTGGGTTTGAACTGCCAGCCTTCTGGTTAGCAATCAAGTGCCTTAGCCACTATGCTAAACTATTAATGTGAATTTACAACTTATGATTTCCTTTAGGGTCCCAGTATAGCGTGTACTACATTTGTATAAAGTAAAAAGTTTTATCCTATAAAATACTAACATTCAATCCACCCAGGAGGTGAAAGCCTAAAGACTTTTTTTCTAGTTTTTAAAAAATATCCTTGTAAAGTTAGGATGTATTTAAACATGGCAGAATTGGATAGGAATGGGCTGATAATATCTTGTTACGTATGAAATATGCTGAATTGAATCTCCACTTGGGTTTAGAGGGAGGAAAGACCATGTCTATGTATACAGCATATCCCATTGATATTTTGTACTTTACCAAACCTTATGTTAGCCTTGTGGAGATTAGCTCTGATTATTAATAGCCTTGGGAGCTCTGGTGGCGTAGTGCCTAAGACATCTGACTGCTAATCAGAAGGCTGGTGGTTCAAACCTACCAGTCACTCCTCGGAAGGAAGGTTGGGCAATCTACTTCTGTAGTGATACCGCCTTGGAAACCCAAGGAGGGGTGGGTATGAGTTGGATCCAACTTGACGGCAGTGCGTTTGGTTTTTGGTTTTATTGATAGCCTTATAAATCAGATGGGAACAATGAAGGTCCATCTCTTTTCTCTTTGATTTGGGTTAAATTGTTAAATTATATCATGCATTAGTGTTAGAGGTTTTTAATCTGCCTGTGGACACTATATGCCTCATGACTACTCAGATGACCAGGGTTAATTAACTGTCCACTTCACAAGGACATCTACAAGTAAACATCAATGTGTAGACTGTACAGACGTCAGTCCCTCTTTGATTGCTTTGCTCCTGCTAGTTCTTGCTTTGCCTTTTCTCTTACCACCTGGCTCTGCAGTTATGAGATCACTCAGGGTGTGGGTCTCAGGTCTTATCTTGTACTCCTCTTGTTATGAGTAAGTAACCTTGGTGGCATTATTCTCTTTACTCATCAGGTAGCCTAGGACACTTGCACTTTGCATTTTCTTCTCAAATTTATATCCGCTTGTGTTCCAAAAGTTGCTGGTGGTCTCTGCCTGAAGTTCCATTCAACCAAGTGTTAAAGCCTTCCAGAATTCCTGGTAATCTGTGGGGTAGATTGCTCACAAGACCCACCATGGAGAAGGAACTCCTAGTTGCTCGTCTTTCTTTTTCTTGTGTCATTCATTTCTCCTTTCTTATAGACTAAGAATGATCATGAAAATGATAGCAACAATATCTCTCTTGAAGAGATAATGTGCATAGAGTATAGTATTTTAAGTTGGAAATT